AAATGGACCTGGTAATTGTCCCAATTCTGTGTACCTCCCATAATATTCTCCACCCCTGTCTGACCTCACAATTTTAATTTTCTTTTATGTTTGTTTCTCTACCTCTGCTTTATAAACTTTAAAGGCATCAAGTGCCTCGGCCTTATCAAACAAGAGGTAGAGATACATGTATCGTGTGAAGTCATCAATAAATGAGATAAAATATCTCTGGCCATTCAGACAAGGTGAAGTAAATGGTCCGCAAATATCAGTCTGTATGATTCCAAGAATTTCCTTACTCATTTTGGCACCTTTACTGGTCTTATTGGTTTGCTTTCCCTTTATGCAGTCCACACAAGTACCAAAGTTGGTAAAATCAAGAGTCGGAAGGACTTCATCATTAACCAACCTCTTTATTCTCTCAATGGAGATATGTCCCAATCTCCTATGCCAAAGAATAGAGGAGGACTCATCAACAATATTACGCTTAATGCCAATATCACCATGCAAGGTTAAAAGATTTTGTTCAAAAACAGGATCCAGATTTAATTTGTACAAACCATTAATTAAAGTACCAAATCCTACAAAAACAGAGTCTTTAAACAAACTAAAATTTGCACCAACAAACTGAAATTCAAATCTAAACGGTACTAGTCTAGAAACAGAAATTAAGTTTTTTTAAAAAAAATGGAATGTATAATGCGTTTTCAAGAACCAAAACAAAGCCATTTTTTAAAACAAGTCTAAAAGTTCCAACAGCTTCGACGTGGGAATGCATCCCATTGCCCGAATAGATGCCTTGTTCACTTCATGTCGGTTTCCTTAGGCTGAGGAAGCCTTGCATGGTATTAGCAATGTGAATTGTAGAACCCGAATCAATCCAACGATCATATTGATGAGTATTAACAAAATTAGATTCATAACACACAAGAGATATGGGATTACCTTTCTTCTCAATCTCTGAGGACTTAAGATGAGCTGCAATGTCCCTCATTTCCATGATGTGCTCACGCACACTCCTATGCTTCATTCCTGATAGTTTGTTCATTAAGGTGCTTGCCAATGCTTTGTCAGAACTAACAAATTGCTCTTCAATAGCCCTCATGTAGTTCTTGACCTTATCAGAAGGTGAGATTGAGCCCCTAATACTCTGGCTGATATGTGACTTTATGAGCATTAGGCTTAGGCGATTGGATCACTCCCACTTATCATAAGCACTCTTTTCTGCAGCGGAACTCTCGTCCGTGGGTTCAGGAGGTTCAGCCACACGGAGTGCCGGATCGAGGTCTATGCACCCTAATGTTAGAAGGATTTTGTCCTTCCAGTCCAAAAATTATCACCGTTCAAGAATGGAATACGAGAACACTCATTAGATAGTACAGAGGTAGAAACCACTGCAATTACCAAGAACATTATTAATGCTTTGAAACAATAGCTATAGTCTGAATCAACCAATGTCAAATTCAATAACAAATCTAAACCTTCCTGTGGGTAGAGGTCACTAAACTGTATTAGATTTGCTATTACTTTATAATAAGACTAATGGGTTCCGAAATATGTAAGGAAAAGAAAACTCATACCTGTAGGTTTAGAGTGTTCAATCCCTTTAATACCCAATCCATTATCTTATTCCAATTAAATTTCATAAATAATTACTTTCCTGTGGGACCAAAAAATTATTTATAAAACATAATTGCAATGTAAAAATGCCAAATTAATTTTTAACTTTATGTGATCAAAATACTGAGAATCACATCTTTATGTCTTAAGATGCTGTGGCTACTCTTAAAACACAATAAATTTTTTAAATATGGCATAATTTACTAATGTGAGCAAATCCTTATAGTCGCAACAAATACATAATCTTTCAATGCACATAATGTATAATACATACAATCAGAGTAATATCATATGAAAAATCCCAAGACCAAACACATGTAATTCAACCTTATACTAGAATTTGCTTAAAAATTGGACCAAAATAAATTCCTTAAGCCCAACACAAAGTGTATTCATACTCTTATTTCACATGAATTTTCAATGCATAAATAATTACTTTAATGCATGTAATATAATATTACATTATTTTAGATAACATGCCAATGAATTTCAAAAATTATAAAAACTAAAAGAACATGTTATAATTCACTGTATGAGATTCAATTGAATTTGCTTACTATTTAAACATGCAACGATAATAAACAAAATATCCTTAACAACATGTTAAAATTTCTTTATGAAAATTCTAGAAATAAATTCAAGTCTTTCATGCCTTTTTTTTAAAAAAAAATAATCCAAATAAAAGTATGAGAATTTCTAGATTTTATACAAAATCAGATTAAATATTTTGCTCTTTCAGGTGTGTGTAAAAAATAATAGTTAATGACACACAACAAGTCTTCTAAATAAAATAGATTTAGAGTAGGAGAAAATTCTAAATAAATGTAAATACCATTAGCACAAATCACAATGGACTCTACTATTGCAACAGCGCTTTCTTTTTCTTTAATAGTGATATTCAAAAGTTATGCAATATAAATGGATTCTACAATGATTCTGAATTGTTAAATTTTATGGTGTGAATTAGCTTCAGTATACAACTGTACGCATCAAAACATTTAGTAAATTGTTGAATAAAACGTTTACAGAAGTTTGATATTATGTAGATGAAACAAATACAAAACAACATAACAGAAGGTTGGCTTTGATACCAATTGTGAGAATTAAAATAATTTTAATTCAGAAAGAAAAATACCTCCTGCCATGATGTTCAAGTCTTTGAATCTTTATTCTTGAATAATCAAACCTTAAATGTATAAAAAACCCACTCACAGAACACTTTTACAGAACCATATGGGAAAAGCAAAAGGGACAGAGTTTCAAGCCTATTCTATTCATAAAACAACGTCTGTGTTTGATGGCTATCACAGACATATATATAGATAGGCTTGGACCTATATCCAAGTGTAACTCCTTATAACTTCCAACCATCAGGGAAGTTGTAAAGTCCCATGAAACCACCATATGGGATAGTGAAGAGACATGAGTTACCCATTAGTCATTAAACCAATTAAATATATGTAATAAATATATATAATATAAATAAATAAATAAATAAAACAAACATGTGGCATATGGGCCACTTTATGAATATTCTTACATCCATGTCATCCTTGCCATGTCATCCTTGCCATGTTATCCTTATGCCTTGTCAGCATTCTGTCAACGGAAAATTTCTAAATTTTAGCACCAACGTTAGTATGCTTGTCGACAGAAATAATAATAATAAAAACAAATGTGGTCAAGATTATTCTTTGAAAATAGTTTATGATTTCAATCGACAAATCATAAACGAATATTCTTCATGAGATAGGCATCAACACAAATAATCCTAATTCTTAACACAATATCTTTTGTCCCAAATATTATTCTATTTTTTTATGCCAACAGATCATAATCAAACTTTGCTATAATTAATAGGTTACAATTGAAAGAAAAATAAAATATGGTGCAAACACACATTAAATTTACTAAATTGATAGTTTTTACACTAAAAAATTATTTTAAACTTAAATTTGTCTTCTCTCCAAATCGCTTGATCCCTCAAGGGAAACGATTGTGTCAATATATTTCTTGGATATATAAACTCACTTTGCAAGTACTATTGAATGCATTTTTAATCCCAATTAGTTACACCCTAATTTATGGCAGCATTTTTGTCACACAATGAATTAAAATAGCACCCTTTTTTTGTTCAAAAAGTTATAATGCATTCACTCATAAATGATGTCCGATCTCTTGAAAAAATAGCCCTCACAAATGGAACCCAAGAAGCCTCTACATCTAGAATTCCTTTTTGGCCCGTGTTCATTTTATTTATTTCTTCTTTTTTATCTATTTCTTTTTTTGCATTGTTGTAACACTATTTCATTAGTGTTTAATGGGATTTAAGTCATGTAAATAATTTCATTATAATTATTATCCATAATCTATCATATATTATTTCTCATTTTTATTAGTATTTGTCATTAGGAGTGTACACGGTCCGGATTGGTTCGGTTCTGAGAAAATCTAAGAACCAAACCGATCCTAACGGTTTTGTGATTTTGAGAACCAGACCAGACCGTTACACTTGTAAAACCGAACTAGAACCAAACCGAAAAAACGGTTCGGTTTCAGTTTGGTTCACGGTTCCAAAAATTTCTATTTACAAGAATAAATTGTTAATATTAGCAAAATAATTACTCAAACTAATTACATTTAACTCATGATAAAAACTAATACTATTAAGGCATTACTCAACATTACATATCTATACCATCCTAATATCATTAAAATTATAAAAAACCAATTAATAAAAATAAAAATTGATATTATATATATATATATCTTTTAAAATTCGGTTCAATTCGGTTCGAACCGCGATTTTTTCATAAAAAAAACTTTCAAATAAAAAACAACAAAAACATAAGACAAGTTCAACTAATATGGATGCAAATATAGCAGCCAAAAACTCTTAACAGCAACAAAAGAGAGCATTCCAAGTTTCCAGCAGCAACAAAATGGAAACATTAATAGCTACCAGCAACATTAGCAGCCCAGCAACACAGCAACAGTGCTCTTTTCCAACTTTCCAAGAGCCAAACCATCCTCCATTAATCAGAAATCACAATAAGAGACACAACATTTAGAGCTAAAATTGCAAAAAAAGATAACATTAATTTAAAATGAAGTGCACAATATATCAAAATAAATTTCATAACAAAATACCAAATCAATATTACCTTGTTCGAGTTCATCAATGTCCGCAATATTTTCTTCTACTTCAAGTGAGAGTGGTGACGCACCCAACCAATCCTGCAAACAAATCAAGCATTCTACAAGCTTAGGAGTAAGAGAACTACGAAATTGGTCAATGACACGACCTCCTGTACTAAAGGTAGCCTCTGAGGCAACAGTGGATACGGGAATGGCCAAAATATCCCAAGCAACTTGAGAAGGAATTTTATATCTAGAGGAATTCACCTTCCACCAATTCAAAATTTCAAAATGTGAGTTTGGCCCTTCCTTTTCACAAGCATCTTCCGAATATTTATCCACTTCTGACTTTCCACCATCACATTGTTCTTGTGCCAAATGTTTTTGAAACTTTGATTTGAGAGACATTAACTGTTTACTTGCTCCACTAATTGGTTGATCAACTTCAACACAAGTCTGGTTAGAAGAAGAACACATTCCAAATTCAAGCTTTTGATACTCATCATAAATTTGATTCAATGCCTCTCTTACCTTCTTTGTAAGCTCAATCACAGTGGCAGCTTCATGAAGTTCAGAGTAACAAAAACTGACATATCTTAACTTGCAACGGGGATCCAACACAACAGAAATCAACAACAACATGTTCACTTTTTCAATTTTTCCCCAATACTTATCAAACTTGCTCTTCATTTTCATAGCCATTACACTTAAAGAAGGATCCAAACTCTTTGCACATTCACATAAGAAACCTTCAATTGCACAAACTTCAGTAAAATACATAGTAGAAGTAATGTACAAAGAACCAGACAAATGAACAGTGGCATCATAGAATTTTTCCAAAAATGAAGTAAAATGCCTAGCATCATCCCAATCTTTGGTGGTAGGAGGTATATCATTAAGTTCTAAGCAAAAATGTGGATCCTCATCTTCTAATCTTTCGAAAGCTTTTTGAAACTTGAGTGCAGTATTTAACATGAGAAAAGTAGAGTTCCACAGTGTTTGAACATCTAAACACAAAGAACTCTTATGATTAATCCTCTCATTCTCTACACATGACTTGAAACGTTGCTCTCTTTGAGGAGAACTTCTAACATACTTCACAGCATCACGAATTCGAGTTACCGACCCTTTGATTTCATTCAAGCCATCTTTCACAATTAAATTAATGATATGGGCACAACACCTCATGTGAAAAAACTCACCTTTTAAAATAAAGGCATCACTCTTTTTAGAGAACTTTCTCTTCAAATATGCAAGTGCAACATCATTAGCACTTGCATTATCAACAGTTAGTGTGCACAATTTCTCTATACCCCAATCAATCAAGCATGCCTCTACTGCCCTCCCAATTGCCTCACCTTTGTGGCTAGATATTACACAAAAGCTTAAAATTCTTTTGTGTAATTTCCAATCCTTATCGATGAAATGTGCTGTGAGGCACATGTAAGAAACATTTTGTAGGGAAGTCCATGAATCAGTAGTAAGACAAATTCTTTGATTTGATTTCATGAACAAATTCCTCAATTTCTTTTTCTCATTACTAAATAATGTCACACAATCCCTTGCCACTGTAATGCGTGAAAGTTTTCTAAAATTAGGTTGCATCACACTACAAAAGTGACGAAAACCTTCACGTTCAACAAACCTAAAAGGTAACTCATCTTTGACTATCATTTGAGCAAGTGCATCTCTGCATGCATCTTGTTCAAATTTCCACAGTCCAAGACTATTTTCAGAACCTTCTTCTTTAA